CCTATTTCCAACTATACTCTAGTACTCCTACATTTGAAATTGTATGATAAATCAAGTTACTTGGGATATTGAATATTTTGATTATTTGTAATCAGTAAAAATTGATGATAAATAATTAGATAAATCAATGATACAGAATTATTTTGTTAGTAATCAGAAGCAAAGCTGGTTACCTTTCAAATCAAATCCTAATTCTTGGCTTTTATTTATTCCTTTCCTTCATTGACATTGTACAAGTACAGTTGGCCTTAGTTTCAATATCTGTTGAGTCATGGTTGAGTTGTCTTTCAGTGTCTACTTTGACACGTGTTGTCCGTCTTTGAATTGGTGTCTGAATGTTTGGCTGAAATCAGTCGTGGCCTTTGCGTCCCTCTTCCACCCCCCCACCACCATTCTTAACAGCCCCCTCAGCTACACCTGTCGGTAATCCCCTCACCAGTCAAACAGCCTCCCCCTCCTGACTTATCAAGCTTCCTCCGGGACGAAAAAAGAAGTCCGTAATCAGTTCCAGCCTCCTCCCAGATTCACCAGGCAAAGGTAGACGGACCTTGAGAGCCAAGGGTTAATTTCGTACCGGTTAACACCAACAGGTGGGAAGGTCACCTGTGCATCGGATTTGCAGGTTGTGAGGATAAGCATAGGATAAGACTCTCCACCTTCTTCAAGACGTCAATAAACACGGACAGCCAATTTAGGCCTCAGCAATAAATTCCATGAGATAACATTATATATTTTATTTTTAGCCATTTATGGTGTTAATGTTCGAAGATCTTCAAATGATTTTGTTTAGTAGTTTACAACCATGACCTTGTCAGGCAATCTTCAAGGACAGAGTTTTTCTTCAAATTTCGACCTCAGATAGGGGAACATCTGGCGTGTGATTTCAAGGAAAAATGTTGTCATCGTCGCCCTCCACCTGCGACTCCATTTCAAATGGAATGACGTTTGTCACATATTCTATTTTTATTCTCACATCAGAAAATGTCAGCTGCTACTCAATTGGTTTGCCTCTGAATTTGGTTAACTATGACGTTAAGGAGTTCATTTTTTGTATGTGAAACTACAGTGGAAATTCCAGTTTACATCTGTGAATATATATCTCTAGATTAAAGAGTCGATTACTTTGTGATTGGTTCTAGAACCTCGTTACAAGTACTTAGTCCTGACATGGAGGAAAGGAACGTTCCCCCATGTGTATGAGTTGCAGTCTCACCTGTGTTAACGTCCGAAATCTTCCATAGCCCCTGTGGGCAAAATAGTCACACTCCAGAGCTTTTGTTGGAACATGTTCTGAAACTATTCAGTAATAAGATGAAATTGTTAACAGCCTATATAGCCATGGCCAGAACTATTAGGAGACAATTTTGTTCTTTCCGTGAACTCAACTTGCAGGCAGAGTTTAAACAGAGGGAACAGCTTTCTGATTCTATTGTGGTCGGGGTGAAACCGTTTACATTTTTCACCTATCAGGGTTGTTTGGAAAATCATAGAGCTCTGTGGGTAAATATCATCGACTCAACAAACGAAGCGAGAGTAGACCCCCGCGAAGGACGAACGTGAGTTCTGAACATTGTGTAAACATTGCCCCACCCACCACAAGTAGACAAGGCATGTCGGCAGTTCGGCTGATTTCTCCTCTGAAAAAAATCAGCGTCTGAAGAACATGAAAGAAAGTCTTAACTTTTTCCGTGAGAAGTCTTGTTTTCGTTCCTTCGCCTTTCACTGGCCAGACATTAATTAGGCCATGCCTCGAAAGAATTCGACTTTGTTTTCTAGAAACACGAATTAGAGGTGTCCTTCTGACCGTTTATTAATGAGCTGGCTCGCGTCTGTGGCGTAGTTACTTTATCAAGCAATTACGCTTGATTAACTCTGATTTCCGATCGCTTCTGGACAAAAAGAGGAAATGCTGCCGTTTTGCGGCGCAAGGGAAAGGCCAAGAAAAGCAAACTAACAGCTTGATCCTCTGGAAACATTTCTAATTGTCGTGGTTTTACTGGGGCAGACAGACGGCCTTCGGTCGAACAAAAACATTTAAAGACTAACAGACTCTCCAGCAATAAAAAAAAAAAGTTCAAAAGACTTTTTTTCTTCGGAAAGGATTTGTGGGTGGCATTTCGTCATCTTTTTTTGACCCGTGCCTAGAATGGGAAACTCATACAACTTGTAATAACTTTACATTGGCGGCAGAAACGAAACAAACATGTGAAACCCATTCATGTTGCAACCCCCCCCCAAAAAAAACCATTTTCCCGTTCCTGGTTCGGGAAATCGGCTCAGGAAATTGGCATGAGCATGAACGTGCAACTATAATGCTGAGGGATGAACGGTCGTGATACAGATTAGCGCGTTTCGTGTACTTTTGTAGTGTATCGTGGCCAGTTGGAAGCCGTCCATAAAGTGCCGACTTTTCAGACCCCCCTGTACGCATGGCGTACGCAGTGGCTACAACCCCCTTCCCCTGAACGCGTACGCATTCCACGCATTTGTTGACTCCTCAGGGTACCTTGCTTTAGCATCGTTAAATGTCTCAGTAGATTGTACGTCCAGTGTAGTACTGTTATTCGCACACACAAAAATAATCCCGGGGCCTTTTTTTCTCCAGTTATGCAAGTAGAGGGTACCAGTACGTTTCCGGAAGTCGCTACCGGTCTTTGTGTCATGAGTAATGTTGTGGTTTACTAATAATGGGCGTTGACACGGGAGGATAAATGGTGGGGTGGACGCTGGAGAATACCGTGTTTGAATGTTGACGCACAAAAGCTGATTCTGGTAATTATTTGTATGAGAAAGTGTATTGATATGATGAAGATTCATTAAAAGCAAATTTTCGGTTTGCGTACGGTACGCACTGGCTTGAACCTCCCCTCCCCTCTCACCCATGGTGTACGCAACGGCACCAACCCCCCTCCCCTCTCACACATGGTGTACACAACTGCACCGACCCCCC